TTTTAAATTTGGACTTTGAAAAAAAAATTTTTTTTTTGGACTGAAAAAGTTTGAAATATAAGATAAAATAAATAGAGTATAATAAATTTTTATTGTCTTTGCCTGTTAAAAATTGGTAATTTGCCATATATAAGACCGTGTTTTTATCTTATATTGTCTTGGGCTCTGATAGTAGTTATGTCTCTGGTCAAGCTACTGTTTTGGATCTTAGATGAATAAAAGTTGTCTGCTAGTCGATAGATATAGTCTTTAATGTACTCGATGTCAGTTATTAGATGATGTCGTGATGTTGTCGTCTGACGAGGACCAGACAGACAGACAGACAATACATTTATTTACAATATTTACAAGTTGATACATAACTAATAGAACAATTCACATTACAGTGCTAGTTAAAAAGCCGACATAATGACCACAAGCAGTCAGTCGTGCTTTAGCACACACTAATTAATATACAATATATAATCAGCGCCACAGGTGTTTTATGTGTATATGTGAGTATCCTGCTATTTTTATTATATTTTAACTGTACACTCGCAGGGCGAATACAGGACGTATTTTGGCATTATATTAAATGAAATGAAATGCTGCACGCTCTTAATGATGTTAAATTATTGGTTTGCTTGATTTTATTAGGTAAAAACTACAGAAAAAACCCTTTAAAAACCTGGTGTATAAATATTCTGGTTGCGTATTTTAGTAATAAAAGTCAATAATTTATTTGTTCAATTTTTATTATTTATCTTGAGGCCTAAGAGCACCCAGGCCCCAGCCACACAGGTATAAGCGCATTCAAGGTCCCGCGGCCCCTCACCAGTAGGCAGGGCCTATTCTCCAGCCCAGGCCCGCGAGACCAGGCCTACGCTACTCAAAATATATAGGCAATTTCTTATAAATTAGCCCATGTTTAAAATGTTTATTATGGTGCTCCCTGAACTCCGTGATGTTGGTTGTGAGCGGGTTTTTATGAATCGTGTTTTCGTAAAATTTATTAGCAACTTTGGCAATGAAGTCTCTAATATATTCCAATTTTGCCATTTCATGCTGAGGCGTGTTATTATTCCACATTATGAACGCGTACGGCAGCTTTAGGATTAAAGCAGTGGAGAGCAGGGTTTAAGTTAAGTGGGTTCTAAAAAAACATAAATAAATCGTGACGTGTCTATATCAAAAAAGGAAATACAAAATACAAACCAAAAGATAAAGATTCTTGTAATCTTGTAAATGTACAGTAGCTTACCTTGTGGGCGCCAAATGACCTTTTGTAGGAAACTGCAAAATTAGACCGGTCATTTAATCTAACTTAGTTTACGCTGAAAGTTGTTTGAAGGTATGTAAACTTAAAGAGGATATACTATAATAAAATGTATAACTTAAGAAATGTAATCTTAAACATTCCAGTCAAAATCATTAAATTGTTGCAAAACATTGGTATATAAACCAAGTAAAACCAAACAACTCTACCTTTGATACGTATCGTCGGTTCACATTAAAATAGAAATATGTCGGCTTTTAAACCGCAACAAAAATATTAAAGTCGGCTTTTAAACCGCAACAAAAATAATAAAGTCGGCTTTCAAGCCGCAACAAAAATAATATAGTGACAGTTCAATATTTAAAAGATAAAAATAGTATACTCAAATTTACATCCTCGAGTGAGCGGTTGGTTATTCTTGCTCCGGCTGGTGGCTTCTGTGAAGACAAACAGCGGTGTGGTTTTCTGGTGGGTTGTAGGTCGTCAAATCAGGGAGGTGGCGTCAGGCCGAGTCAAAATCATGAACATGAGACAGTGGTGTCAGGCAAGGCACTGATCATAAGGTACAAGTCAGCATAAGGTAAAGTTCGACATAAGGTAAAATTCGACATAAGGTAAAATTCAACCTAAGGTAAAATTTCATCATAAGGTAAAATTCATCATAAGGAAAAATTCATCATAAGGAAAAATTCATCATAAGGAAAAAGCCCTAAAAAGGAGAATAAAAATTGGAAAAAACCCAATCAACGCTATCGTACTTACAGATTAATTTATCTGGCTTTAGGTAAACGTCATTCCTACCATCTTGTAGGAGAGGGAAAACTGTCAAGGCCAAGCACACACTTTATAATAAGTGCCAGTCAAATCCGGGAAATATAGTCAAAATCGGTAAAATACTACATCCAGTTTATTTACATGTCGATCCGAGCCAAGTTGAGGTTATGGCGGAGCACGCTACAGCGTTTTTCTCAGTAGTTTAAACGTCGACAAGACCCCAGATACTACGCAATCATCGAGCTCTTCGGTGTCTCTTCTGGACCCTTTCGTCTCGTTTTAACTGGATATTACACTTGAAAAACTTTTAACACTCAACTTAAGTCAAATCGACATGTTGCTCGTCTGGCGGTCAAACAGAAAAGGACTCTTAGAAGAACTTAAATTCCTATTGGACTTTCACGCGCATGCGCCACCAATCCCACGAGGAAACTTTTAAAAATGAAATTTGAAATAAAATGAAATTTGAAAAAGGTATATATTAAAATTTAAATAAACTAGATCTGAAACCATTATATATGAAGGAAAACAAAGAAATATATTTAATTTAAAACACTGAATAAAAATATAGGCAACCCGGTTAACGACCGGTTTTGACATTTCAAAAGTAAACAAATGTTCTACATGACATATTTAAAAGAAACTTTGAGACATTAGCAAGATGGAATAAGTGCCTCTAACGCTCAAATAGATACAACCTATAGCAAGGTAACTCAAAGGTAAGGTTGATAACCACATAGATAAATTTGTTCGTTTTAAGGTTAAACTATGGAATTTACTGGCAAACTAAAGTTATAAAGAAATCTAGGAACAAAAAGGGGATCGACGCTGCTTGTCTTCACTGAAGTAACATCCGGCCGGGCTGTAAACAAAAGTTAAACAAACATAGGTCTCTCAAACTACAGTACGGTGGAGCATTTGAAAACACAATCGTAGCATTTATAACTGTAAGTGATTAATGTTTAATCGTTGCAGATTTAACTGAACGTCAAACATAATAAGTACAGCCCTAAATAACGTGTTTCCTTACTATAAATCTTTATTTTAGATAAAACTACACCAAAGCATTGTTGTTCTAAGGTTGAAATTATCACGGGTTGTTCCTAGGTAAAAATGTTTAAATGAAATATTACATGAAACTAATATAAAAATACGACTAAAAATGGTTTACTTAATTAAAAACACGTAGCATAAAAAGTGCATGCTACAATGCATAGCTTGGATACTTGCATACCTACCGCAGTTGGTTATATGCCTTAGGGCCTTATTCTGCAGCCTCTGGATGGCCGTGTGGTTAGCTTCCGACATGCTACACCACACGGGACATCCATATGTCAGAACAGGCCGAATCGCAGTCTTATATAACAACGTTTTGTTTGCAACACTAAGGGTCGGTTTTTCAATCGTTGGTTAAGTTTAACTTACGGTTAACTTTCTTAGATACTATTGTGGGTTTGGGTACAGCAACCACGACCGCAACCTTCCACTGGGATGGAAAGTGTTGCAATTTAAAAATCGCATTAATAATGTAGTTTAGTTGAACGATTGCTTTTTTAGTCAAATTTTTAAGTATAATGTTAGCAACACCGTCCATCCCAGGAGCCTTGTTATTAGGTAGCGCCATAATAATATTTTTGATTTCTGCCGGATTTGTTATTATATTAGTGAGCTCCTCTGCAGGGATAATAGCGGCTGGCTCACTCATGATCTCTACACCCCTGTCCCATATTATTTGCTGTTCAGCATCAAGGTTTCCTTCGTCAACAACGTGCACGCTCTCAAAATGCGCCGCTAGCGCTTCCGCTTTGTCGCGGTTGCTTACGGCCGGGCCATTGGCTGTAGCGAGCGCTGGGATTTCGCTTCCAACTCTTAACTTACGCATTAGCTTCCACAGTGTGTTGTCAGATGCCTTGACATCACGCAACTCGGCCGCCCAGATTTCATTTTTATAATTTTTGATGTCGTTATTAATTTCTGTGCGAAGTTTATTATAGTAATCCCTATCAGCAACTACCCTGTATATATCAAAGCGTTTTTTAATTTTATTCTTTTCTTTTATCTTATTCAGAATAATTGCAGGCAGGAAGTCACTATTTTTATTGTTTTTAATTACGGTGGTTTTTGTGCACTTATTTTTAGCAATATTAATTGCCTTGACAAGGGCGTCAACCTCGCTCTCGAGCTCCTCGGCAGAATTTATGTGGCTGTTAATAATTATATTGTTGTTAATTATCTCCCTTAGCTTGTCCCAGTTGGTGTTGATATACTTTATTACTTTACGAGGGGGGGTGATATCGATTTTTAATTTAACATTTATTATCACTGGGACGTGATCTGAATCAAGCTCATGTAATACCGAGGGTCCAGAGGTGATGTCCACGCCCTTACGAACAATGACATCGATAGAGCTAGGAGTTAAGCCGTTTGGAGGATAAAAGGTGGGCTCAGGGGGGTAGTCTATAAATAAGTCCGAGTTACCAATGGCATCGCAGAGTGTGACGCCATTAGCATTATTGCGCCTACAATTCCAAATAGTGTTGTTGGCATTGAGGTCGCCCATTAATATGACCCTGTGGTTTGCAAAAAAAGCAAATATGTCATAGCTATTAAATTTGTTGGCGGGGTGTTATACACACTAGCAACCACCAATTCACCAACCTTGATAATTACGTGTTCTATAGTTGAATTTATATTTTTGAGCCTGGTGTGAGACAGGTGGTTACCAATAAGCACAGCCACCCCACCGCTACGGCGGTTTCCAGGCCTATCACTCCTATGGGTAGTGTAGCCTTTGACCTTCGGTTTATCATTGTTTTTGAGCTTAGTTTCAGCAATACACATAATGTCAATTTTATGATAGCAAAGAAATTGAACTAACGATGAATATTTATTGGTTATGCTATTAGCATTCCATTGGCAAATGGAAATTTTAGTTATTTTTGACTTAAGGGACATTAAATCGCGTAGTTTTTTATGTTGTTAGTTGTGAATGTCCAAAATATGGTGAGTTTATTCCTTTCATCTTTAAAAAAACGAACTGAATTTTGTAAGGTTTTGAGTGTTACATCTGCGTTGGTCACAACCATAAAGAGTCGTCTTGTAGTATTTTTCAGATTTTTCAAAGGATAAACTTTTTCAATTTTGATGTCAGGATTATTAGTTGTAATATCATTTTTAATTTCTTCCTCAGTGACATCTTTAGCATCGAGGCCACGGAGGATAAAAGCGTGCGTTTTTTCGTTAGTTTTGGCGTAAGTGTGGAATTTAATTTCCTCATTGATTAAATTTTTAACATAGATGTCATATTCGAGCTCATCATTAATGTGAACAACGGTGTTGTATTTAGTATGCTTGATATCAAATCCCTTCTTCATGTTATTTTTGAGAGTATTTATTAAGGCCTTTTGATTAGTAAATTTACCACTTATTACTACTGGGGGCAGCTTATTCTTGGCTACCTTTGCAGGGGCTAATGGTGCTTTAGGTCTGGTAACTGGCTTGGAGATACTAGTTCCAGACGTTGAGGGAACAGCTGAAGCGTTTACTTTAGCGGCCAACCTGTCATTAGCTAATATTTGAAATCTGTTATTAGTAGGCGTTAAAGGTGTTTTATTTCTTGATCGGTTTAGGTACTCCAGTGGCACAGTTCTGCGGGGGATAGTAAATTCTGAGTTATTCGCATTGGAGGGAGTGTTTGGCTTTCTACTGCTTCCAAAAATGTTGTCAATTTTCTGCTGAATGTTTAGATCGTGTTGAATAATGGGCACAGATGGAACAATGCTTTTAGGGCTGTCGTAGCACTCACTTTCGACAGGCTCTTTGCTTTTTGGTAATCCAGGAGGATATTCCGGCATACTCTCATCAGAATATTGGATTGACGATTCATATTCTTCATCAATTTGTTCATTAGCTTCATCGATAGATTTCTCAGAGTTGTCGCTGTGTTTTTCACTGGTTATTTCAAGTGTATTTTTAAACTTTTTCGGTTTTTTAAGGGTTTCAGGCGATCCGGAGGTGCTGCTATTATTTCCCTTACGATTAGCCGATTTTCCTTTAATTTTACGACGTTTTCTGTCCTTTTTTATGGGGCTGACATCTCCTAATTGTGATTTATTCTTGTTTTCAGCTACCGTAATTACTTCGGAGCTGTCGCCAGTAGATGGCTGCAACACATTTTGTATTTCGACACTTGCTAATTTTTCATCATTGCAGGGTTCTACGATCGCAGTAGGAGTGGTTTTACCGCTGCCCACTAGATGCTTTCGATCGTTTTCATCAGTTTGGGCGTAGACGGCAGAGCCACTATTGCTGCTCTGGTCTCGCTGTTCATTCACTGTAATTTCCACCTCAGGTTCGGGACTTTCCTCCACTGAGGGGGTCGATGAGCGGTTAGAATCACCAGATTTTTGGTCATTATCATTACCGGATTTTTTGCTGTTCTCAGAGTCACTTCCCGATTTCACACTGGACATTTTTACCACTGGCACTTTTTAGCGTCCAGCCTGTATAAACTGTTTTTAAGTTCGCGCACCGAAGCGCTTGGCGTCCTAGTTTTTTTTATTTACACTTAAATCTAAGATAACACACTAATCCTAATTAATCCATTGCTCAAAACTAGATCACTATTAAAGTCATTGTCTTTCGCACTTGGCGTCCAAAACTCATTATTTTTGCACTAAAAACACCGCTGCTATCCACAAGTTTTAACGAGGACCAAATCAAATCAAATCAAATCAAACAAATTTATTTGTACATTAATATCACAGTTTTATATAGATCTAACATTACATTCAATTGTATAATACATAAATAAAAGAATAAAAATTCATCAATTTATATTTCATGAGCACAGTGGGACAAGCATAATACTGAACGTTGTGCCCATGAGGTACAAGGTGGCTCCGATTCGTTGAGGCTGGTGCCTGGCGTCTCGGAGTCCCTGGCTAGGTGTTGTGCCCTTGACTTGTAGTGTTTGATCTTCAATTTTTGGTTGTGAGCTGGCCATTTCCTTCGCGTAGCGATCCAGAGGCGTAAATGGGGTAATTTTACATGTCGAGATAATTGGCGGTAAGGGTGGGTCATTTTGTGTCGTTAATTATTATTTAGGTTGTGTTTTTTAAAGGGAAAAGTATTCAAAAAACCCTTTTTTAGACAATTTTTGTGGTACTTTCTAACTTTGTTGTTTGTAATTATGTTGCAAATACCGGCACACATACATATACGCATGCACATACATATATACACCGGTATTTATACTTGTAAAATACATTTTTGTTAATTATTTAAAGTTTTAATAAGTTGCATTTATTTTGTGTCTTAGTGTTATGCGGTTTTTCTCTGCCGAACCGTGCAGAGAAATTATTTTATTTTCGAATTTTTTGGTTATTTTTTGTTTTTTTGAAGTGATTTTTTTTTATGTTGTGTAGTGAATTTTTTTAAGGGTTTTGTGTTTTAATTTTATTTTTGTAAGTTTATTTTTGTTATTTTCGTAACTGTGCGCCGAAAAACAATTTTGTTTACGTCGCTCGGCTTTGTTATTATTTACAATTTTTTGTTTGAATTTTGTTGTTTATTGCCTATATTGGCTTGTGTAATTGTTTTAAGATTTAGTATGAATTTAGTTTTTGATTGTAAACTACTCCGGTTCGGCGTTTTCGTTAAATAATGTTAGCTTTCCGTATATAAGTTGATGTTTATAAGTTGGCGTGTTGTTATACCGGTTTTGTGTTATATTTTTAGTGAGGGGTGAATGTTCAATCTTGTATCTGTAAAAGTTCTCCGACAATTTAAAAATAAAATCTTGGATATACTCAATACCGGCGTCAGTGTTGAGCTGCTCCTTGGTTGCGTACCTGTCCAGGTTTAGGACCAACCTAAGGGCCTTGTTCTGCAGCTTTTGGACTTCATTCATTGATGTTTTAGAAATTGAACACCACACAGGGCAACCGTAAGTAATGGTAGGTCTAATCGTGGTTTTATAAAGTAGTTTTTTATTTTCGATGTCTAAGTAGCTATCCTTCTTAATCAGCGGGTACATACGTCTGATTGCGGCATATATTTTCGATTTAAGTGTTTTTATGTGATCGTTAAAGTTTAGTTTATTATCCAACCTTATTCCCAGATATTTAAAACTTTTTTTATCAGTTATTACGACGTTGTTTATTATTAGGGGTGAGAAAATTTTATTGTTGGTGTATTTTATGGTGAAGTTAATTATTTCAGTTTTTGTGTTATTAATTTTAATTTTCCATTCTTCGAAGAATTTTAGCAGTGACCTCAGATAGATTTTTATTTGCTCGGTGGCTACTTGGGAGCTAAAAGAGTGATTATATATGGCGGTGTCATCCGCAAATATGGCGTGTTTAGACTTAGGTATGTCCTCCGTGTAGAGATTATACAACATTGGGGCTAGAACAGTGCCTTGGGGCACTCCAGCCTCAATGTTGTATTCTTTAGTTATTTTTTTGTCTATTTTTACTTTTAAGGTTCTGTTGGATAGGAAGGATTGGATTATTTTGGTTGTTTGGAGAGGGATTTTAAACTTTTGCAATTTGGAGATTAGGCCATCAGTCCATACCTTGTCGAAGGCTTTTTCGATGTCAAGCAGGGCCATGACTGTGTTTTGTCCTTTGTTAAAGGCCTGCTTGACATCGTGTACTATTCTTGCAACCTGGTGTGTGGTACTTAGTTTGGGCCTGAAGCCAAATTGTTCAGTTGGTATGATTTTGAGATGTTTGTTACCACACTCCAGGTTGCTTAGAATTACTCTCTCAGCAATCATGGAGAGACTGCTGAGGAGACTGATAGGCCTATAGCTGGCTTTATCTTTGGGGTCTTTGCCAGGTTTAGGGATGGGAATAATTGTGGCCTGCTTCCAGGTGGTAGGGAAGTAGGCTAATGTAATGCATGCATTTATAATATAGGTAAGCTGAACTCTGGGTTTTTGGGGTATATTTTTAATTAATACATTATCGATGGAGTCGGGGCCTGGCGCTTTGTTGTTTTTTAAGTTGTTGATGATATTTAGAATTTTGATCGGTGTTGTTAAATGTTTAGGGTTGTTTTCGTGTTGTTTATATTTAATGTCGTTAGCTGTTTTTATGATATTATGTTGATTAGGGGTTAGGTTGGTTAAATCGGTGGTGAATATATTACTGTAGTACTCTGCCAGTAGTTCAGCTTTTTCAATATTTGTTTCGTAGTTTATATTGTTGTCAATTAGTGTGGGAAAGTCAGGTTTTTTAGGTTTTCAATATTTAACAACTTTCCAAAGGCTGTTGTCTGATGTTTTGAGGTTGTTAAGACGTTTCCTCCAAATATTGTTTTTGTGTTCTTTTATTTCATTTTTTATTTCATTGCGCAATTTGTTGTATTGGTTTTTGTATTCGATTAGTTGGTGAGTGTTGTAAGGTGGAGACCCCTGCCTCATCGTTTAATGAAAAAGGGTAATACAAAAAAAATAATAATAAAATAAGGTTTATTTTAATTGGCCAAATAGCTGTAATCGTCTCGTTGTGAAATGTTTAACTAAAAAACTACATAGTAACTACAGTTCTTTTTCAAGGTATCATACTTACTTATTGTCAGGAATTGCTTAAATAAAACACTAGCATGCTCATTTTATGACTTATTTATTTATAAGATCAGAGGTGCCACTGTGCCTCTGTGGTTTAAAAAAAAACGGTTAAACGTTGAGTAAAGATTAATTAATTTAATTTGTAATCTTGTCAATATTGTACACTTGTATGAACATATAAGTAATTTTGAATATTTCTTTGGTCCAGTACTTAAATAAATTATTTTACTACAACCCAATCAATGCTCGAAACAAGATCTAAATGTCTGCAATTCGCGTAGTTAAAATAAGGTTAGGATTATGGTCAATCCAAGGAGACCCTGATCCAAAACATAATAGTAGTCAAAATCATTCCAATTATACCGTGCCGTATTCGCGTAGTTAAAGTAAGGTTAGGATTATGGTCAATCCAAGGAGACCCTGATCCAAAACATAATAGTATTCAAAATCATTCCAATTATACCGTGCCGTATTCGCGTAGTTAAAGTAAGGTTAGGATTATGGTCAATCCAAGGAGACCCTGATCCAAAACATAATAGTAGTCAAAATCATTACAATTATAACGTGCAGGTAGAGTGGTGAACCAAGAATATATACTGAGACCCTGAACCTCGTCGATAAAAATAACGACGGTGTTAACAACTTATTGTGTGTAAAGCCATTTAGGCAAGTTTGTAAACCATTTTGGTAATAATATTGTTGTATTTACCCTTTAGGTAATATACTTTTAATTGTGACACAGGTGACACATTTATTATTGTGCCATTTAGGCGACATATTTGTTATTGTGCCATTTAGGCGATATATTTGTTATTGTGCCATTTAGGCGACATATTTATTATTGTGCCATTTAGGCGATATATTTGTTATTGTGCCATTTAGGCGACATATTTGTTTGTTGTAACTTTTTATATTTAATCTTCAAGGAGCATGGTCAAATCATATACATAAATCAAGGGACCTTAAACCCTAATAATAAATAGTGTTATTTTTCACTTGTCTCGATAAGTCAATTGAAAACACAGATATTAATCAAACTGTAAAACTGGACCAATCACAATAATAATACTAAATATAAAATTGATACAAATTTAGTTTAAGAGTGTGTAATTTAATAATTTTATAATAACGTTTAAAATTATGTATTCTAATAATTTGTTATATTTGTAAACGTATGTTTATTATAGTATTTAAAATATAAATCAAATGTTAATTCAATGTTTTTCTAAATAATAAATAATTGAGAAAAATAGGCATTTGTTTGAGGTACGTGACTACAAGCATTGCGTAATGGCAGCCGTTGTAGAAATTAAAACATGTAAATCAATCATTTACAACAAAATATGTATTAAAAATAATATCAGACTAACCTGTATATTCTTCTAATATGAAAGAACCACAATGTACGAAGATTACCATATTCTTTTAGAAGTTTTTCTGTTTATTAATATTCGCCTCCAGTGTGTAGTCACCAACAGCCAACACCCTAATAATCTAATCGAAAAACCTTTTTTTCGAGCCTCCTTCCCACCATCATCAAATAATGGACTCGTCCAAAAACCGTAGAAACTTCTTTATGCATGCGCATCGTAAAAGTTTCTGTCAATTCTTTTTAAGGATTAACAGCACTACTTCAAATATTAATTAAATAAGTAACCTATTTACGATAACTAGATAATTCACAATCATCTTCTAAACCCAATTATTACATTATTATAAAATAATATTAATTATACAACCAAAAATACACAGCTGTATAAACAGTTGCCTATAACTAAAAGCATAAAATTGTAATTAAATAATAATATTCAATTAGGGATATTTTAATATTACAAAAATATAAGTAAGATAAGTACAGAATTCTTCAAGACAAGTGACATTTTTCAGAGAATACTA